GTTTGTCAAACGGTAAAGAGTTGTAGCACGGCATTAACGTTTCGATAACTCTCGCGATCGAAAGATTTCCGGCGTTTGTTACGTTCTCTCTCGGGTCGCAGAACCAGAGAAGCGAGAAGCACGCCTACGCCACGGTAAAGCCCACGCTACCAGGACCGTAAGTATCGGTCTGGTGTGACCGAGATGTCGTGCGCACCGGAATGCCCATTGCACAAGCCGATATTTATTCCGAACGAATCGCGGAAATACTCCTCGCGGAAGGATCGCCGCGTTTAAATGCGCGCGCGATCGCGATTCCTCGATTCGGCGAGAGACTGGTCGCGCATCGAGATCGCGCTTTTTTTTTTTTCTTCGTCTCAGCTTGCACACGGAATTACGAGAGCGAGTGCCACATAGAGTATATATGTGTGTGTGTAATTTGTCTTTCTTGTTGCGTTTCTGCTCGTAAAGGAATAACGTTTCAATTCTCCGAAATTTCAAGTTTTACGATACACCAATCTCTATCACACGGATATTTAAGGCACTCTTAACAATGTCTTCGTAATTTATAGGGCTTGGAAAAGTTACAACTTCAAAGTCTCTAATGTTTTACGAAACTTGAACCCTCGACATTTAGATGTCGAGAAACTAGAGGCATTACAGATTTCGTGTGACCATATTTAGAAAGCGCAAGTCACAATACATATTCTAATGTACTTTCCAAAGTACGACAATATAACGGCCGTTTTTGTATCGTCGAAAAGACTGAAGCAACTTTTGAAGAGATCCGGACGCGCGGAGAGAAAGAGAGAGAGAGAGAGATTGAAATGCTCGAATTTTCGTTGAGACGCGAAGCGTAAAAGGGCAAGAATACACGCACGGAACGCACGCTCGTTCGGCCGTCACTCTAAGCTGCATCCGGCAAAGCGGCGGTTTTTTGCGACACGCCGGGTATTGCATCCTTAAGAGTTCTGCGCCACTTGTCCCTTGGAAGTGGTCGGACGTGCCGGAGCGAGATCGTCGCGGAGTCGCAAAATTTCGCGTGGCGAAAAATCCGAGGATTTTTTTTTCCAGCCGAGCGTCATATTCGATCTTATTTCCATGGCCCCTTTCGAATTTTATTCTCCCTTTTTTTACTAGAGCTATATACATTTCATACAAGATCCGTGCGCGAGAATATTGCGACTCTCCGGCGGGTTTTATTTATCACAGACGATTAATCCCGCCGACTAGCTTCCCCGAGTTAACTTCTCGACCTTGTTACGGGAGCCTCGCTCTCTGCGCGCGTAACGTCTCAATTACGCTTTTTGTCATTACGAAATAGCATATATTTTCCGTGGCTGTAGACTTTCTAATTAAAGAGAAGTGCCAGGCGAGCGCTCCCTTCAAAAGCTTTCTATCACAGTAGAAGAATATTTAAATTAGAAAAACATATTTGCTGAGAAGAGATATCGATTCATTAACAAAATCAATTTCTTTTTGCCAAGAGAAGAATTGCAATTCTGAATTCGCCAAAGAATTTTGTCGGCAGAAAGTGCACGGTTTCTGACGAAATGGGTATTGAAAAAAGATATTTATAAACTTACAATTCTTTTAAAATATACTTCCTTTTTATTTGAAGGCAATGTCGTTGAAAATTTTAGAAATTTTTTCTAATGTCTTAGGATTTTGTGTACTAATAAAAGTTTTAAGTTACTATATCGATTCGTTTATCGTCTTGTTTCACTAAAACTTTAAGGCTCCTAGTCGAACACCGCTATTAATGACATATACATACGTTATTTATATATATTGTAATTTAATTCTAACAATATTTACAAAAATAAACGTAGAATATCTTTACGCTGTGGTACTCGTGATTATATTTAATTGATGCAAAATAATATTTAGATAATAAAAAAATTCCAAAAGATATAAACGCCTCAGGCTTGTCCTCTTTAAAAAGTGCAAATGTTCTTAGCTTTTCCCTCATTCATATAGAAAAATTATGATTTTTGTAAAAATACAACTCCTGTGTTTTTCGTATGCTTCAATATTAATTTAATAATAAATTTAATTATATTTTTAATTATATTTTAATTATAATTATATTTAATTATTATAGATTGTGTCTTCTCTCTCTATGAAAAGCTATACTACATCTATATTTATATCTTTTTTCCTTTATCGATATTTTTCAAGCACAAAAATCTTGTGTACAACGCGGGAAATCTGCACGATTGCATGCATTTCAAATTGGTTAAACGCTCCGGAGAGAAAGAGAGATAAGGAGAGAAAGAGAAGATGATCGCGTCATTAGACGCAATAAACGCGCGCGACGAGCCTCGAGACGCGCATTAATTCGGGTCGTTTGCGTTTCGAGGATGCGTGCCCGCACTTTTATTTGCCTCGGCGCCATATACGAAATGCAAGATGTTTCGCAAAACACGTGTCGAAAAAAAAAAAAAAAACAAAAAACAAAAGAAGACAGAGGAACCGTAACATCATACATGACCGTGGCGCACGCGCGCAAACGCATGCGCGGTCGATCTCGGGATCACGTTTCGAGAATAAATAATATGAGGGGTAAAAAAAAAAAAAAGATATTTTGCATGATCGCTCACCGAAAAAATCCTCCCAACTAACCGAACCGGAGTCGGAGTCCACGGCGTTGGCGCTCGCAGCCTCCACCTCGCTGCCCATCGCGGCGTCCGCAACGACGATCCCTCGTAATCTCGTCTTTCGTCGAGCGTTGCGTTTACTCGCAGCGTGACGTGCAGCGATCGTCGCGCGACGACGTCTCGCCGGGTCGCTTCCAACAGGCTCGACGAAACATCATCCATGAACGCGCGAGGACCAACATTGTCTTTCGGAAACACCTAGGAGAGTCTCGCGCGCGCGCGCGGTGAACAAGGGTGAACGACTCCCGCGCGAACGGATGCGAGCGAGAGATGAACGCGCTGCGCCGGACGGATCGCGACTGACACCACCGACTGGACTGGAACCAGGACTGGACCGGCGCGCCGAAACTCGCCCGAGCCCCGAGGAGGGTGAGGCGAGATCGTAAAACCGACGTTGGATTCGGGCGGCACTGACGCTCTTGCACTCCGTATGCACGTCACGTGCAACACGCTCGCAGGATGCAGCGCGACTGACGCGATCGGCGCGCGTCGTCCGAAAATCGCCGAGGGTGAACGATCGCGTGGGCCAATGATGGGCATTTTTCTGAAATTTTTGCGAAATAATCATTTAATTTTGATTTTTTTTTTTCCATAAATTTATTTTGATTTATATTTAGAAAAAAAAGAAACTTTTTTATTAAAGAAAAATTATAAGAATAAAAATAACATTTTTTAACGGATCTCTCTCTAAAAGACCCATGCTGAGATCTTAAATCGTCGAGGGTGAACGATCGGGAGGGCCAATGAACGCATTTCTCTAAATTTGGCGAAATTGTCTTTCGATTTTGAATTCTGTTTCCACAGATTTATTTTTGTTTATATATAAAAAAAGAAACTTTATTAAAAAAAAAATTATATGAGAATAAAAATAACATTTTTTTAAACGGATTTTTCTAAAAGACTCATGCTAGGGTCTTAATTTAAAAAGATATTAAATGATGATTTCGATTACGTTGCCTTTTATTGTCATCGCAGGCTGTTTGAATATTCCTTGAAACTATATGTCTGAAATAATACGTAACGTTTCAGAAGATTTATATCTGAGACGTTTGAAAAGCGTGAAACCGATACGCATTGCGTGGAATATTAATGACTGCAGATGGAGTGACATCGGAATAAATAAAGATCTCCACCGGAAGATACCCGGATATCGCTCAAAACCCAGGGCATCGCGAAAGTATAGTTATACATTCTTTCGAGCGTCCGCGCGCGTGGCTGCGTTTATTTTTCGAAGAAGCGTGGAATACGCACTTACACGTGCGTGTATATTAGGGGCACGCACGATACGTCAACGGAATCGCCGCCGTTCTATTATTAGACGGCCGACGCTCGTCGTTGCATCCGACGACGGGAATGAATGGAGAATGCGCTCCCTGAACATTAGGACATTGCTCCTTAATGTTCGCCACGAACAAAATTGTGTTGAATTTAAAAAAATGAAAATCAATTCCAAGAAAATTTCAAGACGCTTCTTATACCTTCCGAGAATTGTCTTCTAAATTTCAAATCAATCTTTCTTATTATTAAACTTCAGATTAAGCAGGAATAATTGTAAAAGTTTCATCGCGAAATTCATCCTTTCGTCTGTATCTTTTTTTTTAATCTTGAATTATTTTGGGTTGAGATTTTTCTTCACGTAAATTTTACGTAACTTGTAGCATCTCCCACAAGCATGACTTTTAAATCGCGTTAACGTCTAAAACTTGCCATACTAAAAAACAAAACTGGAATATAAATCTCTATCAATAAAAAACGTATTGTATTGATATTTGATTAATTTTCAAAAGAGAGATTAACGAGTTATTAGTTAATTTTTTTTCCAATAGAGTTCTATATTCATATTTTTTATGTGCTGCTATTTTTTTCTATTTCTTACGAAAGTAATGAGAAAGTGAATAACGTCGTTTATGTGATCCAAATATTTAACACGATTAATAGTACTCGATTGCATCCCCATTCCGCCATATTGCGAACGTAATAATTATTTAATAATTTGAATGTGATATAAATTCTATAAACTATTGCATGCAAAAATATAAATTTGTTAATTATTACATATATTTGTTTGATATAATTCGCAATATAATGTAGTCATAGACAATATGTTGAGCAGTAAATATATAATGCCGATGCGAGCATATATATGTATATACACATACGGTTTATATATTTTATATACACACATTTCTCTTTTTATTATATTTAATAGTTACATCTCTGTGATTTTAGTTACATTTTTCGCATGAATTTAAGTAATTGAACTCATCTTATGTATATAAAATAATAATAGTTGTTTTTCGCTCAAATTTAAGTAATTTATCTCATCTTATGTATATAAAATAATAGTGGTTTTTTTTTCGCAATCTTCCAGCGACGCTTAGGAAAACGCACGGTCTTATCACACTGTTTTTGATTATTACAAAGTTTGTTTTATTGCCAGTGAGATATCTACCTGTACAAAGTAATCTAATAATGTATATTTGGCTATATAAAGTATCTACGAAAGAATAATGTTTATCCAGTAAAGATTTTATGATTTTTTTCAAAATCTCTCATATGGAATCACATTAAATCATTTTTGAATGCACATTCTGGAAACAACGTACCTATCATTTTCGCATTTAAGTATAAAGATAAGGGGGGAATTTCGCATAGAAATAGAATATAAATATAGATGATTGATGACACAGTTACAGTTTCGAAAAATAACGATGTTTTTTTGTTGGGAGGAGAAAGAAGACACAGGTACATATAACTTAGAATGATATAAATAAATTATCACAAATTTGTATCATAAAAAAATTGTAATATAAATCTATAAATGGATCACGACAACGAAAAGCACTAACAATGATTAAACATCAATTAATAATGTTTTGTGTAAAGACGCGCGTTATATCTAAAGTCAGAGATAAAAGTTCACATAATGTGACATAAAATAGATCATAATGTAGTATTTTCTAATATATGGTAAGCTCAGAAATTACGCCATTAAATAAAAAAAATTACTGAATCTCTTTCACTCGTACAGTATATAAAATAGCGAAATCTTATCATATGTTTTATTTACTATTCCTTCCTTAGTATTGAATTATCCTTCGAACACTAGCATGAATTTTAAATGTCATGATATAAACTAAATATATATGTTATGTTTACAGTTTTGCTACTGCACATGTCATTGTAGAAATTAATCTATAAAAATTATAATATTTTTAAATATATTTTTATATAAGTTAGCGTAACGAATTATTCTAATGAAGAGAAATGGCGTATTTACAATTGTGACTTTAACAAAGGAAATGTGCATGTACATAATGCAAAAAAAAAAATCTATTTCTTCTTATCTGATTTATGCATGAAATTAATACAGCTGAAAAAATTAATACATGAATTAATTGAGTCAGATATCTGAATGAATAATTCCTTAATATTTTATAATGATCCTTGAGCAGTTAAATAGGAAAGGACACAATCGTTATGGAAAACAAGATTTTACAAACATGACGCATTCAATATCCACGTCATCTTTCCTTTGACATTTCTTTATGATTTATATTGCACAAGAATATTCATAAATCAAAAATTTTGTGATGTCTAATTCGTAATCGTCGTATAATTATCTTTACTATTTTATGTCAATTTGCTTTTATATATCTAAATACTGTATATCATCTTGTAGAACACAAGAGATTGAGACATTAGAAATTTGATAATATTGCTTGTGTTATATATTTTGTCGAACACAAACCTCAGTTAAATTAATTATAATGTATGATTGTAAATATATAGGGAGAGACACACACACATACATACACACATACATACATTTAATCTGACTGATTTTATTATAATATTATATCACACACACACACACACACACATTCTTTCTCTCTCTCTTTCTCAACATATTAATGTTAAATAAATTTAATCTAATGATTCGATTGCAAACTTCACTTGTGCGATTAAATTATATAGCAGACATCATGTCTTGCAGGAATATTACGACATCCACAGTTGATGTCTTTCTATACGAACACATTAATTCTATTGAATCTCTGTAATTTCCTAAGAGGAAGTCACTTAGTCACTTAGTATTATTAATAATATTTTATCACTATTTTGTTTGCTATACAACTATTTAGAAATCTTATATATATTGTTTAACATGATCAAAGAATAAATCATGATGATGAAGCAGTCTTAAACAAATTAGCGCGACGTGTATCGATAACATCGTGTCAATGGATGAGATTTTGATCAATAATACTTGATTATATATTCCCGATGGTGTCATTTTCAGAGATATGATCTCCATAATACTAACCAGGCCCATTTAAGAGAATGAACCTTTTCTTCTTTTATGCGTATCCTCGATCGAATTGTCCCTTTTCCGTTTATGTTGTTTCTTAACTCCAAGTCCTAATATATAATTATATGATTAGTTACATATTATCGGTCAATCTTAAAAAGTGTATACAAATGTCCACTGTTCTATTGTATAAAAGTTTATAAGAAATCTTCTAAGATTTGTGTAAATAATTTTTCAGTAACAAAAAAGTATCATCAATATTTTTCGAACTAATTAAGATTATTAAAATTTTTTATGTTATTTCTATAATTATAAAATACGCCTTTACAATTATTTTGAAAATAATAGTCAATGTGTGAATCAATTTGCTAATATACCAATAATGTAATCAAGTTTACAAAATTTAATAAATATATATACTTTATTTATAATATATTGATTAAATATAATACTACTAATTAAAAATATAAGAACGGCAGATCACTCTATATGCTTTTCTAGTTTTTCTTTCTTAAGTAATGATTTCACATATTAATCTTACGTTTTATCTTCGCCATACGTGAACGTGTTACGCGTGGACTTTCGGAGTTAGCTACAGGCCTAGGAGACTCGATAACCTTTTTTTTTAATCGTGCGACTTCTTCCATTGCGGGTGTCATCCATTTTGGTTTGAGTTCGTTACTGAAATTCGGATAATAATCAATTAATAAAGACATAAATAACATGAGTAAAAAATATATATACTTTTCGTATACATATATGTATATCATGCTTGAATATGCAATCGTGAAAATTAAATACTCACTCCGATGATTTCTGCATTCCTTTATGCCTAAATGAACTTGATTGTCTTTCCTTCATTCTACGAAGTACGTCTAGCATAGCGTACGTCGGTAGAGATGGTGGTCGTGAAGGCGAGGATGATGGAGGTGTGAGAGGCGGTGTCAGAGGCGAAGGTGGTGGTTGAGTACTAATTTTTGCAAATTTATCCGGGTGCAGCGCCAATACTGCTTCCCAGCTAAACTCTTTATTCTGAACTGGATGTTTAGGCTGCGTATTTCGAGTTATTCGAATCTAAATAATATTAAAATAATATAGTTAATTCTGTAAGTTTAAAAATTATACTAGATACTTGAAATTAAGTTAAGTGAAATTTACCTCGCCATTTACGGGCTTGCAAGGTCTCCTTTCTCTTAAATATGGACGCTCGAAAAATATAGCGCTTGTAAGATTTTCATTGGATTCTTTCATACTATAGAGACATGTAGGAATATTGCCATCTTGGCTGCCACTGCGTACGAATAAATTCCGTAAATAGGAATAATTGGGTTTGGTCTCGAATTCTAGCTCGGTCACATATTTCATATATTTCATAATTGCGGCTGTAAGAGATAGATAATATCTTATATAAAATAATGTATCAAAAAAGAGTAATAATACAAAATGATACACAGAATGTGAAACCATTTTTTTTTTTTTGTTTTGTTTAAGCATTCTTGATTTTACTTTATGATATTTTAACTAACCTGGTGGTGTTTTTTTATAAGGAAAGCATTTGTCCATAAACAAAGATAAGTCTGATAAAAGAATTTCTTTTTGTCGATGAACTTCTTCTGGATCAATGACTGAGTCCATTTCGTCATTACCTTTCTCCCAAGGTAGCTTTCCGCATAACCATTGTATAATATTATATCCTAAAGTCTCTAGATCTCCTCTCCTCGAATGTGCTGAAAAGTATTTTATTTAATAAAACTTTGAAATTCAAAGTAATTTCTAATTTCTAAGTCATTAGTTTTCACAATGCAAAATTTTTTTGCTGAAATTGAACAGTTTGATCTTTCTTGTCAGTTTCTTAAATATAATATTCTTTATAGCTAGATTGCTATACAAATCATTAATAATATGTAAAAATATCCATTGAAAGTAATGTGGCATACTTCCATGATGAGCATCCCGTGATGTAAATTCTAAAGTGCCCTCGTGAGCTCTTCTCTCGTCATGTACAAATGGCTTGTGTTCACCGGTTCCTGTGCGAAAACGATACGCCAGTCCGTAATCTACGAGGTATGCCTGGGATTTTTCTTTTCCTATCCCGTCCCCGTACGATAATAGGATATTTGGTCCCTTAATATCTGCATGAGCATATCCTTTGCTGTGAATATACTCTAATGCATCCAACTGCAAAAAAAGATTATAAGTCGTAAATAATTGCAAGCAAGATTGCACGATAATTGTCTACATATGCTTAGCACAAGTGTGAAATTTACCATTTGTACAGCCAGTGTGTTAACTAATCTTGTTGGCAATTTCCTCCTATGTGACAGAAATAGTTTTCCAATATCTATACCATATCGCGGTATTACTAGAAACCTGTATCGTTGATTTCTATAAACGTGAGATCCCGAGCCCTCATACGTGGGAACACCAATTTTCCTCTTTCTTTGAGATTCGCACCAACTTTTAACTGTAAAAAAAAATATCAAATCTTTTATTTTACTATCAATCATACTTTTATTCATTTTTTGTGTCTTTAAATAAATTGACATAAATCATATTATGTATGCATTACTTACTCATGTGCTTACGTGCTGCTCTTATATAAAAATTCATTTCAACAAATAATGGTCCATTATTATGAGGTTCAATTTTTACAACATATTTGGCATCTTGGCCGACAGGTGACATAATATCGTTAGAAGCTGTAAAAAAAAAAAAAAAACCAATTTTATTATATTTAATTGTATATACGCATAAAATACGATACAAATTACACTTAATGTTACAAATGCAAATAGATTATGGACATAAATATTTACCTAAGTATATATCTCCAAAACCGCCATATCCAATGGTATTCCCCAGTCTCCATTTATTCTGTGTAATATCGGTTAGAATTTCTCCCGCTGGCAGTTGCGTCGGTAACTTACAACCCGCAGCTGCCACTCTCTTCACAGGCACATCTTCCACTCGTCTCGGTGGCATTCTATCGCTGTTAAATCATTCACATGTATATTAAATTTGTTACTTATTTGACAAAGTAACATAACTTATTACACATCACATAGGCAGGAAACAATTTCAATTTGCAACATAGTTTATTCTCGCTGTCTAATGTAGTTTATTCTTGCTGTCAAAATTCTATCATAAAAAAAATAAAATTTATTTGATACAAGTGGGATACCAATACATTGCATCAACTGTCATACAACATTATATACACTTTGTAGAGACAAGAACACATCAAGCATATTAATAATCTTGCATTTTATTCTTTTCATTAATTTCTTAAAAAATACCACATACATACATTTTCTAAAGTGCTTTTATCTGCATATTAATTGTGTAAAAATGTATATCTTATTGTTAAAATTATATACATAATGTACATTTTGTATTGTTTAATTTTGTTGGCAAATGTTTACAATAATCAAAAGACATTAATAATACACATCTATAATTAAGAGAGCAGATGTTTATTTACTATCATTCGCATATTTGTAGTGGAGTCTTCGAGACGATATAGCCAAATGAAATTGTTTACGTGCTGTCAGGTTAACAAAATGCTACCTGCTACTTTAGAAATATTACTAATTTTTTCCTATGAGCTGGAAATGCACAACTTTATCGCATTAGTTGCATAAAAATATTTGCACATACATATTAACAAAGAAACTAAACTTGAAGTTTGTTTAGCGACTTAACAATGAATCATTAAACAAACTTTACCAGGTCCATACGCGATATAATTTCTACGAGCATGCTAATTTTGACGGAATGCAATAAAATTTGTTTCTACATGCGCAACAAATGTTCTCGGCAAGCCTAATTATTATAATTATTGCTTCATAGCGCAAACGTACGTTTTTTTGAATGTCGATCAATTATATGAAATAATCAGAAACAATCAAGCGCCGAATAATAATCATTCTATTGACAATATATCGTTTGTACAAGAGAGATTTCATAATAAATAAATTTCGCAACACCGTATTGTGGTTTTCTACACATGTTATCCCCTGCGAGGATAGATATACTTACATGACGTACGTATTTCTCTAACAAACGACTCTTTTATTATTATTCAACAAAAGGAACTCACATTTCACGCACTCGCGAGAAAACGCAATGGGTGAAATCGAGAGATTCGTAAACTACTAATTAGGTTTCGCTGGGACGCCAGAGACGCGTACTGCAAGGTTAGTTACAAGATCACGATGCATATACGCGTGTAATGTATATATCGCCGTTCGGAGTAGTTCGATGTATCGTGCGTGACGATCAGCCGGTTTTTCCCTCCGTCGTTGCGAGTCCGAGACGCGTACACGGGCGAGAAATACGCGGAGACGCACGAAGAAACTAAGGGAGTAACCAACGAACAGGCCTGTACTTGTCGTACGGTGTATACGTTAACGGAAGCACGGAACGACGACCTCGAGCCAACGTTCTCCTTGTCACCGCGCGCCGAAATGTTAGGAGCGGCGAGCGCATTCGAATGCGCCTGTCAATGGCCCGCAACGGCCCGCCGCGAACGGCAGGACGGCAGTCTTGTCTCGTCGACTCCTTCACGTTCCTTCCTTCGCCTCGGTATCCCACACACGCGCACCGCTCCGTTTGACAAATCGCATCGCGCTACCGTTGCCGTTACAGCCTTATAGCGGACTGCGGACTGCAACGCGACGATCAGCTGAAAGCCGATCGTCTTTAAAAAGCGCGTCAAGTTCCTACAAGCTCGTATCAGACTATACACATTTGAAGATTGAAGATTGGAATTTGACTAATCGGAATAAAAAGAGTCAAAATTTCTTTGTCCTGATTGGTCAAATTTCAATCTTGAAATCATTGAGCTCTACAAAGCCCGTATCAAACTACGCATTGAAAGTTGAAATTTGGCCAATCGAAGAAATTTTAGATCCTTTTATTTTTATTTTATTTTTAATTCTAAAGTTAAATTCCAATTTTTTATTTTCAATTTTCATTGCACAGTCTGATACTGGAGCGAGCTTTCAAGAATGGGAGAATGATAGCGTTTTCGAATGAACGAATGGATTATAAGGGCCAATTTCACCAAGCTCGGTTAAATTAACCGACGGTTAAAAGCTGGCGATGTACCCAATTGATGGTCCGCCATTTTACACACCCGAGGTGTGCGCATGCGTGGTGGTGCTCTAACAATAAGTGATACCAATAAGTACAGGTCATGGATACCACCCGAGGTGCGCGCATGCGTGGTGGTGCTCTAACAATAAGTGATACCAATAAGTACAGGTCATGGATACCGCTTAATAAACTTTTTAACAGTTTTTTAACTTTGTAACAGCTGCACACGAAAAGGAAGGTTCAACTATGGTAACAAAAAATGATTAAGAAATTGTAAATATTAAAAAATAATTCAAAATTCCTCGAATCATGACAAGTTGATTGTATTATCGCAATTAAAACGTATGATAGGAACCTTTATTGAATGAATAAAGAATTATTGTCTTATTAAACATAAAATCTTGTAATATTTTGGTCTATTTTATGATCTGTTTCATCGTTTAATCCTGATTTTTTAAATTAATAACAGCAGAAATGTTACGTAAACGTAAGTTTCAGTCACAGTCTTACATAAACCGTGGCACCGACGAGCATGGGCGTCCGCAGAATTTTTTCTAGGGGGGGGGGGGCATATTACTTTCAGATTAATTTTAAAAAATGTATACTTAAATATTTTTACATTTTTTAGTATTCAAGCTTTCTCACCGCGTCAAGATAGATGTAAATCGAAAAAGATTTTTGTTTTTTTGTGTTTTTTTAAATAATTTAATTTTTTTAATTAAAAATTTTTTTTCCATTTTCCAGGGGGGGGAGCACGTGCCGTTTTGCCCCCCCCCCTGCGAACGCCTATGGGTTCACATATGATTCCCGCGATTCACAATGGACACGTTTATATCTTTTATAATTGGCAACCCCATATATTTGTTGTGCCTCTCCGGGTACAACGGGATTTTTGGGGATGATCCAAGGGTTCGGATCGTCTATAATAATGAGACAAATCAATTAGTATAAAAAAAAATAATTGTTTTTAAGAAAAAGTATGTAATTATTTACAATGTATTGTTTTAAACAATTATTTGTTTTTTTCTTTACACTAATTGATTTGTCTCATTATATATCGTTGCAGTGCTACGGGTGCGCTGCTGACATTATGACCCAGGGCTGGCACGGGCGCGAACGCGTATCGCCAAGAGCGACGAGGAGCGACGACGTAACGGCAGCGCGATAAAGTAGCGTCTGGTGGCAAGGAACGCGAGCTATATAGCGAGGCCGCGACCCTGAGCCCGATACGAAGACGCGTGCACAATTCTGCGCGAGTAGTGGTGGTAGCAAACGATAGCGAAAAAAAAGCTACGGCACAGCGGTAGCTGAATAGTCGGCGAATGGACGTGAGACGCGAGTAAAAGAGAAAGAAGATACGAGAGGAAATACGATTCGCGGGCCCGCGAAGAGGGAGAGAAAGAGAGAGAGAGAGAGAGAACGGCCAGGCTATCGCAGGCGGTCCGAAAGGTCGCGGGTTCACGATTGCTCCTGCGGAGTTGTCGGGAGAACATGACGATCTGCCAACGCGTTTGACGGCTCGGCTTTGCCTTTCCAGTGCGCCGAAGGACGACGATCGGCGAAGTCATCTCGATCCTCTCGGGGATCGGTACTCTGACTTTTCGAACTTTTTTAATTCATCGTGCTATTGGCGTTGATAGGCCGATCCGAAACGCATATACAAGAGATCTTCGCGGGAAGCGAATATACACAGTGTGTTACCGTTTATGTGACGGATACGCTGCGCGTGTGTCTTTCCAGTGCGCCGAAGGACGACGATCGGCGAAGTCTTCTCGATCCTCTCGGGGATCGATACTCTGACTTTTCGAACTTTTTTAATTCATCGTGCTATTGGCGTTGATAGGCCGATCCGAAACGCATATACAAGAGATCTTCGCGGGAAGCGAATATACACAGTGTGTTACCGTTTATGTGACGGATACGCTGCGCGTGTATTAGATACGTTGTGTCGTATAAATAACATACGCGCACACTCACTCTCTCACTCTCTCTCTCTCTCTCTCTCTCTCTCTCTCGCTCATGTATTTCTCATATCGGTTATCCCTTTCATTTGTAGGAACGCAATATTAGTATGCATCTCGCGCGATCCTCCAGGATGATCTTCCATATTCCCACTAAATCCGGCGAAATTCGTATGAATACAGAATGTTCTCAAACTACCGCGCGTTCTTTTAATCATAGCTTTCTCGATCAGTTTGGAATTGTTCTTTTCTGAATAAAAAATGGGTCAGATTTTTCTCTCTCTCTTTTCTAATATCTTTTCAGTTAAAAATACGATTTAAAGTAAAGCGTTTTTCGCGACTTTAAGCTTCGAAAAGACGAATAATTGAGAGAATTTTATAATTAATATGGTTTTTCGTTTGACAGAGGTGATTTTCATTTAGGTTAATCGCAGAAAAAGTTATATAACTATAAAAAGATACTTATTGGAAAAAATCCGCTTCGATATGTTTTCGATGAGGAAAAATTGATCTCGAATCGATCGAAGAAAAGAAATCATCCCGAACGACTTTTGGATGCTTTACATATAGGGTGAGACAATCAAAACAGACCATCTAACTGACTTGTAAATTATGTTTTATGAAAAATTGTTACATATGAAAGTTGCATAATTTCAAGAGGATCATTACATCTACTTTTTAAAGTGAAAGTATTTCAGAGATTTGAAGGTCAGCCTAATCTTTTTAAATTGAACCACCCTAATTTGTGTATATAAACCGATTTCTCGGTAACAATTTTTTATACAACATATAGTTTATTATAAATTATAAACTGAATAACATTATAAACTGAATAACAAATTATTCAGATGGCCTGTTTTAATTGCCTCACCCTGTATATACAGACACATCTTTTCTCCGTGGCTTTCTTCAGAGCGTACAGCTTCCAGTTTCTTTCATTTGCGTACAAACGACGAGGCGTCGCGTGCTAAATGGATTGCATAAAATGGAAGCGTGTCCGCGATTTTATCTTTCTTTTCTCGTCTCACCGACATTAATGTAATGTAACTTTCTTTCGCGATGGATTGCTTTTCGGAATATTCCGCGTGCGAAGAAGCTGCGCTTTTTTTCTCTTTACGCGTAAAAGATGTCTTTCGATGTCACGTCGGTTTGCATTAAAATCGAATTAAAAATATAATGTATGTGCATTTTTGTAATAACACTTTGCGAGATTACTCTCTTAAATGGATGTTTTCAACTGGAAGTTGATTCCAATCACACACACACACACACATACATATATTGCGCGACATCGATTTATGAGAGCTGAAAAGTTTGCAAGATAAAAATTTCTATCTCTATTGCATCGTTATTATTACATATCTTTATAATTTTATTTTTATAATTCTAACATTCGATCTTTATCTTTTATATTTGGAGCTGAAAAATTAAATGTAGTTTCTTCCTTCTTGTCGCGAAGCTTTCTGGAATTCGAATTAAACTTGTCGATTGTTGACTAGATCAATTCAGAAAAAATGCGCTCAATGTTCGTCATCGATATTTCTCTTAATCGTTTTGTATATACGCGTTATCGGTGTATGTCTTTTGAAAAAAATGCTTAGAACGCAAATCCCTGACATATATACCTATAAATAGCTGTATCAGTCAACTATTTGTCAATGAATTATTGTGCCGTTTATGTAACAGATTGCCGATGTATTGCAATACATTATAATGAATATTTAAGTGACGGAGAATTTAATTTAATGCGATTGTGCACGAAATGTAAAATGTGTTCAGAACTTCCGTAAACGGATATGAATAAATTACCTTGTTTATAAAACTGAATATGCGTTCCCGTTTAATTGGGGATCCTTAAATAACACAATATATAAAAGTCAAGAATCCTTGAATATGCATATTTGTAATCTTTGACTTCTGCCTATATAATGATATGTCTTTTGTAAAAACTCGGGAAAAAGACAGTTTCACCTATTTATAGAGATCGGATTTTTTCTCCCAAAAATTCTCGTTATATATACGATTTGTCTTAATTAAAATTATATTTTGCTGTTTCTTCACACTTTTTTTGATATCTATTTGTCAAGAGGCTCTGGAAAATAAAACGTAAATTTTACGGAGAATAAAAGACCTTCTGTTACTTATAATTAGATAACATGATGCATCTCTTTTGATGCATTCTATATGTGTCTCAAGATGCATCTGTTATCGTATTTCATATGAGAATTGAAGAGTTAATTGCTTGCAGCATATTATTGTACTCAAAGTCTGGTCTATAATTTTAACTGGTGATAATTTGCATTATTAATTAATAATGCAATTATTAATTGATCTATAGATTAAAAAAACGTATATATATATATATATAATTACGTATTTATACAATTACATGGATAATGACATGCTTAAAGAAACGTCACGTACATAATATAGTCTCTAATTGTAGATAAATTTACTTTCGATGTCTAAATATATGTCTTTTTATTTTCCTTTGTTTAGGGGTGCGTTTTCCGAAGTGAGACTAGCGGAGAGTAAAGAGAAGCCTGGTCAAATGTTTGCCGTGAAGATAATCGACAAGAAGGCGCTAAAGGGAAAGGAGGATTCATTAGAAAACGAAATCAAAGTCCTGCGAAGGTAGGAAGCAGAACGATTCCGAGAGCTGAACATACAGTAGATCAATTTTTACTAGTAATGTAACTCTTTGTTTGATTTATAGTTGCTCCTTATAATACTTAGGCATTCGGAAAATTGATAATTGGCTGATTTAAGTACACCAGTTCTATTATCGTTGGACTCGACTTCGATATAGTTATATGCATGCTTCCCTTTATATAACAAACGCTTCATCTGACAAAATTATATTATTCGAGTATCTCATATCCTCTCCCCCATAGCTTTCTAGCGTACATCAGACAAATTCATCTGTCGTGGCGTTGCTGTATAAAAATATCGTTTGGAGAAACTTTTCGATTTTTGCTTTTCAAAGTTGGTTTGAGAATCATAAATTGTTCTCGATATCTGTTTAATCACGATATACATAAATCACGTGGGAATACGAACATTAATTTATGAGCTACCAATGCCATTATGCTTTTTCACTTATACGATATTATTATGGCTACATATACATTGTATATGGTGTTATATAATCCAGCTCACAATATTACATGTCTCGGACAATTTTTTTCGAGAAAAGCGCTGTGATGTGGTATTTGCAGCAAGCTCTGATGGCTGTCGTCTGTCCTCTTGTTATCCTTAATGTTGTATGCAAATAATGTGCCTCTCGTATATAAGCTATATATTGTCTCGATGCTCTGTTAAGCATATTCTATAACACATACTCGAAAGTCCTCTGTCATAATGTCTTTTATCACGTGGATACATGTATTTTTGACAATGTCTTCTTTGATACGATTAATATAGCTATGGATATGTGTTGAGATGATACTTTTCGATGTTTTTATCATCATTGGATTATCTTTCTCTTTTATCATTCTACTCTGTGTTATAGTGTGATTTACATAACAAGACTAAAATAAGTCACGCAAGAGCGATTAGAAAAAAATTATAAAAAAAGGATCTCGAGAATTCTGTTGTATCATGAAATTATCATTTATCGATCAGCACTGCAGAAGGTGTTACAATACACACACACACACACACGTTACTGAAATAGATTAAAAAAACGTATATATATATAATTACGTATTTATACAATTACATGGATAATGACATGCTTAAAGAAACGTCACGTACATAATATAGTCTCTAATTGTAGATAAATTTACTTTCGATGTCTAAATATATGTCTTTTTATTTTCCTTTGTTTAGGGGTGCGTTTTCCGAAGTGAGACTAGCGGAGAGTAAAGAGAAGCCTGGTCAAATGTTTGCCGTGAAGATAATCGACAAGAAGGCGCTAAAGGGAAAGGAGGATTCATTAGAAAACGAAATCAAAGTCCTGCGAAGGTAGGAAGCAGAACGATTCCGAGAGCTGAACATACAGTAGATCAATTTTTACTAGTAATGTAACTCTTTGTTTGATTTATAGTTGCTCCTTATAATACTTAGGCATTCGGAAAATTGATAATTGGCTGATTTAAGTACACCAGTTCTATTATCGTTGGACTCGACTTCGATATAGTTATATGCATGCTTCCCTTTATATAACAAACGCTTCATCTGACAAAATTATATTATTCGAGTATCTCATATCCTCTCCCCCATAGCTTTCTAGCGTACATCAGACAAATTCATCTGTCGTGGCGTTGCTGTATAAAAATATCGTTTGGAGAAACTTTTCGATTTTTGCTTTTCAAAGTTGGTTTGAGAATCATAAATTGTTCTCGATATCTGTTTAATCACGATATACATAAATCACGTGGGAATACGAACATTAATTTATGAGCTACCAATGCCATTATGCTTTTTCACTTATACGATATTATTATGGCTACATATACATTGTATATGGTGTTATATAATCCAGCTCACAATATTACATGTCTCGGACAATTTTTTTCGAGAAAAGCGCTGTGATGTGGTATTTGCAGCAAGCTCTGATGGCTGTCGTCTGTCCTCTTGTTATCCTTAATGTTGTATGCAAATAATGTGCCTCTCGTATATAAGCTATATATTGTCTCGATGCTCTGTTAAGCATATTCTATAACACATACTCGAAAGTCCTCTGTCATAATGTCTTTTATCACGTGGATACATGTATTTTTGACAATGTCTTCTTTGATACGATTAATATAGCTATGGATATGTGTTGAGATGATACTTTTCGATGTTTTTATCATCATTGGATTATCTTTCTCTTTTATCATTCTACTCTGTGTTATAGTGTGATTTACATAACAAGACTAAAATAAGTCACGCAAGAGCGATTAGAAAAAAATTATAAAAAAAGGATCTCGAGAATTCTGTTGTATCATGAAATTATCATTTATCGATCAGCACTGCAGAAGGTGTTACAATACACACACACACACACACGTTACTGAACTATCAACACGACGAAAGATACATAATACATACATTATAACGACAAAGTTGATATTTTCACTTAAATAATAGATATAAAAATGTCCAGATCCAATTAATATATAAGTAAATGTGGAACTGAGTTTTGTATTCTAAATTTTTATCGAAAGAAACATTGCATGCATATATGGGATTTCAATAACATTGATTACATACTCTTTATGTGTAAAATATAACTATTTTCATAATCTGCTTATCACGTATTTACCTTTCACAACGAACGAGACGGTAACTTTATTGCATCTGTATTTGTAATCAATATCACAATATCGATATATTATACAAATTCATTTTTTATGCCACCGAACTGGGAAAACCCTGCAAGTTTATCAATGATACATGTATTTTTGACAATGTCTTCTTTGATACGATTAATATAGCTATGGATATGTGTGTTGAGATGATACTTTTCGATGTTTTTATCACCATTGGATTATCTTTCTCTTTTATCATTCTACTCTGTGTTATAGTGTGATTTACATAACAAGACTAAAATAAGTCACGCAAGAGCGATTAGAAAAAAATTATAAAAAAAGGATCTCGAGAATTCTGTTGTATCATGAAATTATCATTTATCGATCAGCACTGCAGAAGGTGTTACAATACACACACACACACACACGTTACTGAACTATCAACACGACGAAAGATACATAATACATACATTATAACGACAAAGTTGATATTTTCACTTAAATAATAGATATAAAAATGTCCAGATCCAATTAATATATAAGTAAATGTGGAACTGAGTTTTGTATTCTAAATTTTTATCGAAAGAAACATTGCATGCATATATGGGATTTCAATAACATTGATTACATACTCTTTATGTGTAAAATATAACTATTTTCATAATCTGCTTATCACGTATTTACCTTTCACAACGAACGAGACGGTAACTTTATTGCATCTGTATTTGTAATCAATATCACAATATCGATATATTATACAAATTCATTTTTTATGCCACCGAACTGGGAAAACCCTGCAAGTTTATCAATGCGGTAAAGAATAAAGAGTCAGAAAAATTTGAACAAACTTGGCACGCGAGTAAGTGCAATCAACTCTGCTTTCGATATTTACATATATATAATTACGTAATTGTGTATGGTATTTTTTTATTATACTTCGTAGGTTCAGTGAAAGTGCGACACCACAGAGTGGTGGCGGATCGCTCAGGTCGGATAGTAGTGGCGAAAAGAGATGGTAAGTGTGGGGCCCCAGAGAGCACGGGCACCAACTACCTGTACCTGTACCGCTCTCAGTATTCTTCTGTATCATTTTCGACGATATGCCATACATTTTTACAATTCAAATTGTATATATA